TTTTTCTTCTTTCTCTCAATTTAACCAATCAGTGCATGTGTTTAGACTCAGATGGGGCCAAAGGCAGTTAGTTCATGCAACAGTATCAAGTGATTGTTGATATTGTGATCGTTAGCATGCATTCATTGTTGTTAAAGTAAATGAATATATATGTAGACTCCTTTTCCCATTACAAACAGTAGTGAAGTTAGGCACACCTGGCTTCTGAGTTTTTGGGCTGGCTCTAAGATCTGAAAATATTCGTTAAGGCCTGGCTTATGTTGATGAAGGTATATACGTGTAGATTTAATATATCTAGATTTAAAAAAAAACATTTGACATAGTGCTACACAAAAGGCTTGTTAAAAAAATTATCTCTGTGTATGTGTGGGGTAAAGTTGGCTCACTGAACAGAAAAGTGGCTCGATGGAAGAAAACAGAGGGGTGTTATAAATGTAACTCAGTGAAACTGTATTAATGTCACAAGTGAGGTACCTCAGGACTCAATGTTAGGAGAATAATGTTGCTTTACAAAAGGATTTATATCATGTAGTGAGTTAGGTTAATAACTGGCAGATGGCTTTTAATTATAATAAATACAAGTTAATATATGTGAGTTAACATAATTTAAACTATAATAATTTTTATGGAAATAACCTTAATTGTATTATGGAAGAAAATTATTATGGCGTTCTGGTTGGTCAGCTTCTTAAACCACCAAAGCTGTTGCTAGTGGTAGGGCAAATAGGAAGTTGACTTGAATCTACAGAAATATTGAATACAAGTGTAAAAAATATCACTTCATTGTATAGGTCACTGATAAGGTGTAATTCAGAGTATTGTTTTCAGTCTTAGGCTTTTTACTTAAAAAAAAAAAACATTGAGTTGTTAGAAAGAGTTCAAAAGAGGGCTAATAGGATAAAACCCGAGATGGAAAGGTTGTCATATGAGGACATGTTAAGATATCTGAAACTGTTTTCTCCTGAAAAAATAAAAGAATTAAATGGTATCTGATTGAGGTGTTCTAGATAATTAATTAACTCTTATCTGAGCCGGTAAGCAGCTTTACATGGTCAAGAGGGCACCAAGGGTACTCCTGCAAATTGAATTTCACAATTTAAGTAAAATAGTAATTTTATCTTTTCCTCAACTGTTTCACCTGTAAACAAATCCTTACACAATTTTTTAAGAATGTTTCTGCTCATCTGAAAGTTTAGGCTTATATTTACCTAGACCCTGGAATCTTTTACAAATAGAATTATCCAAGATTTTGTTTCTCACATGACTTTTACTTTCCTCTCGATGGCGGTGTTGAATGGGTTTTATGATACAACAGCAAGTGAATTAGGCAATAATTAATAAACCTTAGTCTCCAAACAAGATAGAACCAATGGTTAAATATGATTGGATAGAAGGTTTTCTTCTCTATCTATGTAACAGTAAAGTAAATAACACTTCAGTAAACAGTAATGTATTATTTCTGGAAAAGTGACTGGCAGAAGTTATCATATTAGAGAACAAAGGATTTTAATGTAAGGTTCACAAAACTTAGAAACAAGAACAAGCTATAAATCAAGAATTTTTTATGTAGTTTCCTTTGATTATATTTTCATTTGTGATAATGTTTTGTGATGTATTATGTATGTTATAAACTACAGGAATATTCTTATATGAGAAAACAAAGGAAGGATATTTAGGGTTAGTAAGCATAGTAAGCTAGGGACTCTGTAACATGAAACCATTTGGATTATATAAAATATTTTTTATTTGTGTGTATTAATAAATTTATTATTACTTGAATAACGTATACAAGTTCAAGAACTCCTCCATTAATGAAAACAAACTGTAACTTGTAAGTATTAGAAAGAAACTGAGCTTGACCAAATACATAGCTAGAAAAATATCAGCTATATCAGTGTAGGCTTAGGATACAAGTGCAATTTGTTTCCACTAGTCAAAGCTTTTACTATTCATCTATTTTACTATTTTATGATATTTTAAAGGTTGCATAGCAATTTCAATAGGCCATGATAAATAACAAAAATAAATAAATGACGAAAATAAAACAAGTTAGACCTAATTTGAACTTTCTAATCAGTAATATTTTAAAAACCTGGTTTAGTTTACTTTTATAATATTTTTAATAGTTATTTTCTTTGTATGTACAAGCTTGTATGAACAGACAAGGCAGCGATATGCCATTACTAGAACATCACAGACAACAATTATGGTTTTATCGAAAAAAATAACTGTTGGGTAAATTTTCATGATTTTAGGTACACAATTAAAAAAAAAAAAACTCTAAAATGAAAGGAAGTATTTCGAATATTTTTAAAAACAGCATCTCAAAACAAGATTTCAGAAGATTTATAACCTAAAATATGAGAGAAATACTAAACCCAATTATATAATTTTTTTAAAGCAAAAACTACATATTATTTAGAAAGTAAGTACCAAGTTTCATGTCATTAAGATAAGCATATTAAGTGTGAGAACTAAACAAAAAGCAGTGACACATCATCATCCTGCCAGTCCAGATAGGATTAAGGGACCTTAAGTACCGACGCATCATCTTTTTTCATATTTAATGGTATGGTAGGACAAGGAGAAGAAATATACATTTTGCCAGGATAGGAATCATTTTCATCTTACACAGTTTTTACTTTCCTACAGGGTGGTTGGTCTTTGGAATGGGTTGCCTTCAGATATGGTGGGTGCAGCAAATTTAAGGGAGTTTAAGGAAAATTTCAAGAAATATTTAAACGATCAAGGCAAGATTTGAGTATTTAAGTGCATGGAACAAAACTAATGGACCAGCAGGCCTCTTAAGTATTATGCTGTTAATGAAGTCCACTCAAACCGGACCCTTATTACTAGTGGAGTGCTTCATGGATTGGTGCTTTATTTTCTTTACATTACTGATGTTGTTAGGGGCAAAATTAATAAATCAGTAAAGTTTGTTGATGACATTCAATTCTTGGGTATTTCTAGCTCTATTGAGAATGTTAAAGTACTACAGCAAGTGTAAGGTAATGCATATGGGTTATCATAACCTAGGTAACATATTTAGTATAGATGGGCCCTGCTCAGAAGCATAACTGAAGAAAAGGACCCTGGCAGAGTGATGGATAAGTAACTTAAGGCATCAAGACAGCGCTCTGTTGTTAGTAATAAAGCTAATAAAATTTGGGGTGAATCTATATACAAATTGATTATAAGTCAAAAGGGGCAATTATTTCTTTATACAAATCATTGGTCAGACTTCACTTGGAATACTGTGTACACTTTTGGTATCCTTATCTAAGAAGTAATATTTGTTGGAAAGAGTCCAGACGAAAGCTACCGGATGATTCATCTTACAAGGATAAGTTAAGATCTCTTATTTTCTTTTGATAAAAAAAAGGGGGGGGATAAGAAATGATTTTACTGAAGTTTACATGATTGTACAGGGGACTGAAAGAATAAAGGTGTCAATTTCTTTGTGCTATATTCTAAGGTAAATAAGACCAGAGGACACAAAATTAAGATTTCAAAAAAGACAAGCTAGGCTACAATCAAAAATAAAACAGTTTTATGTTTATAACCCGAGTGACTGTCAAAGTTGTCAATGATAATAGTAAAGGCTGGCACATTAAAACAGTTTAAGAGGATCACTCGTGATTTCCTGAAAAATAAAAAGGTGGGTTTAAATTTTTACTTTTGGTGTGCAAGAATAATCTTGAAGGAGAAACGGTCTACTGCTGTCCATATATTATAAAAATACACTAAAAGCCTAAACAAATAAAAAAATAACATAAACTTGTTAACAAGGTAAATAAGTATACCAAAATGGGTACAAATTAATATAAAACTCTTACATGACAATTAATAAAAGGCTATTTACTGTCACAGTGGCCTATAAATATAATAATTCTGAAAGGAAATGTTCATCAAAATTGCTTCACAACAACAGAATGTTCATGCAAATGTATTATTAAAAAATAAACAATGAAATGCAAAGGCCTGTAATTAGAAAAAATTTGTGCATCCAACTGTACAACACTTAGTTATATAATCCTGCTCATTACTTTGTTCAAACTTTTTTCCTTTTCATACAAACACTCTTATCAAAAAGACTTGGACTTAGGATTTCCCCTTTTTTTTTACTATGCCTGTTATGAAATGTAAATAATTAAGCAGATCTATAGCTTGAACTTTTGTCTTGCAAAATGTTACTTCTATATATACATATTTTGGGTGTAAACAAATTTTAATATTTTTAAGTACTCTTTTTTGAACTTGAAATTGTTCTCAAAAAACTTATTTTTCTACAGTACTCACATTCACAGTAAATGTCATAGTGAGCTATTTCCCTAAAGTTTAAGCTACACATTCAATGTTTCATGGCCTTAATTATATAAGTTAAGATAATTTATTAAGACTTCCGAGTAGTAGGCCTACTAACACTGTACAAACCATCAAATGTATCATCGCTTGAGCGCATACGACGTCGAAAATTTAATCTTAGACTTAGAACCTAATAAGTAATACTAATATTAATAAGATAAGATGAACTTCAGAAAGCCGTTCATATTACTTACCACTGCTTTGCAAGCTTCTTGTAAGCTTGCTTAATTTCCTGTATAGTTGCTGACGATTTTACGTCTAATGTTTCATACGGATCTCTAAAACCATAAATTATTTCAATAATAGAAAAAATTGTTATTAAAAGGGAGCTAACACGCGATAGTTTTAGAACATGCATATTGTATAAAATATATTAAACACAATCTCATTTACCACAAACCCCATCTAAATCGAACTCTCCTAAATAAGGCAATTATACGTTAGCCATCTAGTGGCACACTGACATAGTTGATATATATTATTATTTTCTAGCAAAGGTTCTTTATATGTGAGTGGAAGAGAGAATTTTCTTTTAAGTTTCGATAAAATTTACACTACTAGCAAAACTATTTATTATGTCCGATACAAAATGCCTATATAATCAGCGTTGACTCTAAAAATCTTTGGATATTTGTATGTTAGATTGTTAGCAACGCATTTACTTATATTGACAGTTCTAGGATCCTAGACTGATAAAAACCTTTTTTTTTTCTTTTAGGCATGTGATGCTGGTAAAAGTGGTAAGTTCTTTTGTTTTTGTCTTTTTTACGAGATGGTACAGACTGACTAGGGTCAGTTGGTAAGCTCGATGACTTCTTGGCAAGTTACATTTTTATCATTAATGTCTTATTATTTCTCAGCACCCCAACAGCTCAGCGGTAAATCTGTAACCTTATAACGTCTAAAAATCGAGTTTCTATTCTCGAAGTGGACACAGCACAGATAGTCCATCGTACAGCTTTGTGCTTAACCCCAAACAAGTACATCTTTCTTAGTGGGCTCTTTTGAATTATTTGGTGAACATAATTCAACCTCCAACCCACTTTAGGAGAAGAAATCAGTTTGTTTCCTCCTTAACGCTTCTTTATAGACTTTTACACCTCGTTTTTGTCGTAGACCTACGTTTACAAATGACGTGAAACCTCTTTAATACAAATACAAATACAAACGTACAATCAGTCCCAGAGGAGTCGCTAGGCGCTGGCACACTGGACCAGTACACCGATTCTACTTGGCAGTGCCAGCAGTCCCCAGTTGGTGTCTTACAAAATCAGAATTGAAAACCATGATCGATATCATACTGAAACGCCGAAAATTCCCGCTCCTAAGGTCCGAGCCCCGAATGTTTTGAGCACTTAGCGACGTCTCTGATCAGTCCACTTAATTATACAAAATAGCAGGATAACTCTATCACAACTAACTTTATGCTTCGTGGAAAGTCATATATATAATATACGTAGGAAAGTGCTAGAACAAAACTTGATGTCATATTAGAGCTTTCTAATATTGCGCCCACTATCTATTAAACAAATTACAGATTAGAGCTCAAAATTAACACAGCTAATATAACATATTGTTACGTCTCCGTTTGTTAATTAACTTTCCGTAACTTCGTTCCGACGAAACTTTAGC